GGAAAATTCGTTGTTTTACATCCGAATGCAGGGGCACCGTGAATCGCTGAAAAGCAACACGAGAAAACAATTGCAAAGTTTATCAACTCTTTAATTTTTTTACATTAAAAGAAGATTGCACTATTTAATCGTAATGTAATTTTTAATAATTAAAATGTTAATAAATAATTGTTAATAAATAATTAACAATGCATGCCATCGTAATGCTGTAGGCAATCTTAAATGCAATAAGAGTACAATATTTTATATTATTTTTCCTAAAATTATTTGTTTCAGCCAATATAAAATACTGATAATATTTAGGAAAAAATAATTTTTCTTTCTTTTCAAAATTATATTAATAGATTTTTTAGAATAGAATAAGTTGAAAATTGTTCAACTTAGGTTCTCTAGATATTTTGTATTATTTAGGTACCTTATATTTAAATAATTTAAATATATAATTTAAATATTTAAATAATTGATTTTAGAAGCTGTTATATTTGTTCCTGCTTTTCTCGCTATGTCTTTAGATAATCGAAAAAGGACTTGTAATCAGGACGCGCGAATAAAATACTTTTTTTTGTACAGATAAGTAAACACGTAGCAATAAGTTTTTAGTCGAATTAGTTCAGATCCAAAAATATCGGAAAAAAGGTGATAATTTAATGACACACTTTGATTTAATGTTTATTGCCTTTTTGCGAAATCTGTAATTCCAAGCATGGAATGCTGTGTTGATTTTGTACCAGACATGCTCGTTCACGGACGCAGGAAACGGCGCATCATGGTAATAACTGTCATCACACGGCAACTAGTTAAAGCCGAGATGAAAGATTCGCGGAAAATTCACCATAGCTATATAGTGGTCAATAATATTTCAAAATAATCTAACAGAAATATATACCCAATTGAAATAAGACAGTTTGAAATCTGTATATATATATATAATGGTTACTACATAATCTGTTTTTTTATTAGAAACATACATATTAAATTTTATGAATTTCCCATAGCAGAAAAAAGAGAAAAGAGAGTTAGAGAATTCAACTTTTTAATTGTATGTTAATAATAATAATAATATAAGTCTTATTTCTTCAAGCATATTTAAATATAATTTCGTATTCGTTTAAGTTTAAATATATAACATAATTTTATTCAAATTCTACTTTCGCGCGTATTTGTAGTATATCACAAGCAAAATTCGATAATAAACAAATTGTCTTTTTCTTATAGAATTAATATTACAATTTGGAAAGTAATTATAAAAAGTAATAAATTAAGATTAAACATAAAAGTCATCGACAATTCCAAGAGCAGGCAGAAACGAATAAACTGATAAACCCATCGTTGGTTAATGTCGCTGGCTGATTACGCGAAACTCACAAAGTAAATTTGATTTAACTGAAGCATCGTTCGCTAACGAGCAGTCGTGATGTTGGCATTAAACTGTCCGCAATATCCGCCATTTCAAAACGGGCCGCGAATGAAATAGGGAAGAAAAAATGGGAGCGGGATAGAGACCCGAGGTAGAGAGAAAGAGAAAACGAGACGGACGGACGGACAGAGAAATTACAGCCGCATGCTGCATTCAGGAAACGGCGCATTCTATTGTACTTTTGTCATAGTTAAACTGTCAGGCCGATTCTGCGTCAAGCCAATTTATGCTCACGTGTCCCGATTCGCCGGCGATCCTCTGCTGCTACACGTACCCGGCGCACGTTATGCTGCCCCGCATAATTCCACAGAATTTTCTGCGGCTGCATACGAGACGTAACAAAAAAGAAACGGCGAACAACGGTGCTCGACATTCCGGAACAATTTGCGTGGGTGCCAAGTGCTCGTTCACACTAACACGGGGATTCTTACGCAGGATCGCACAAATATTCGTATACCGTTCTATTGGATTAGTAGTTTGTGAAACTAACCAAATATCCTAATAAAAAAGGATTACTTTAATTCTTGCTTCCAAATTTGTATCCAAAGATATGGACATACAGTGTTTTAATTTAATTTCCATTTAAATATAGAAATTTTTATTCTACTATTTGTACAATATTATGTATACAACTGTATACATAACATTATATAAACATATAGCAAATAATTTATAACATATAATTATAAAAAGAAGTACTTGTAACACTTCTCGATTACAATACACGATCGAAAAATTCAAAACATTTAACAAATATTCAAGATATTTAACGTTAACACACATTATTAAAATTATCTTAAAAGAGTTATAAAGCTATTTTTAATATTTATTATTTCTTTGATACTTCTTTTGTATATTTCTAATCCCAAAATTTTTATGATAAAAAATAATAAGACTTAAAAAATGAGTAACGTTTTAAAAACATGAAGAAAAGAGGTCACAAAAGAATGATATAAAAAAGTTATGACTACGACAATTTGCATAATGTCGAGTAAATTAATTAGCGCATTGCTACCTAGCGACGATGATCACATGCGAGCCCGATTCGTTTGGAACCCGCGAAGTTTATTCCAGCTTAACGATCGCCGCTCCCTCGGACGGTTCGCAAATCGCAAGAGGCCGGGACTCGGCGGCAGGCAATTAGCGTAATTAAATAATAATTGAAAGGAGAGAACGGTTGGTCGAGAGCTAGTAATCGAGCCACGCCCCGAGCGTTCGTGATATGCCGACCAATCAGGCAGGACGACAATTTCCTCCCGACTTGTCTTGATCGAAACTTCATAAAGAGTGTGTTCTCCCAACAAAAGCACTCTAAATCCAATAAGCTTCATTCGCGATCCTCACGGTCGCTAACTAGTTGAACTGAACTTTTTAAATTATGCATTAAGTAATGATCGTAGCTTCATAACTATGTCTATTGATCGTCGCATTTATTATGAACTATTCTAAAATTAATAATTATGACCGTTATGTTTGATCGATAGGCGATAAATAAATGAACGATTTAATCAAACTAACTTCTTTAACTTCTTCTAACTGAACTTTAGACATTCGTAGAAATAAACAATTTATTAATTTAGAAATTAATTAATTTCGAATAGACTTAATTTAATTCGAATAGACTTAATGTTTAATTAACCATTAAAAGTTTTAAATATTACATAAAAATATCAACTACAAATTTTAGAGAACAATTCACAAAAATATTTGTTGTAATTTGTTCGTAAATATCTTTTATGATTCAATTCTCTTGCAGTTATTAAAATACGCTTCATTATTCGGAATTCGATGAATTTGGAGAGGATGGAGGGGAGATTTACCTCTATTATGTATTTTAAATTACTCCCTTAATAATTGCAACATCGGAAAAGTATCGAAAGTACAAAACGATCGGCAAAGACTTTCATTCGCGGCACGTAATCAGGCAATTAGTCGAGGCGCTAAAATATTCTATGGTTTCTAACGAAAAGTGGTTTATACGTACTTAAATATAGGCTATTCTGTTCAGCCGACGCTTTCGATGGACGCGATGTACATGAATAAAACATTATTTCAAAGGGTTCAAGAAACAGACAAGCTTTGAAAAACACTACTCCTCAAAAGTAATATAATTCCTTCCGCTCGTTAATAGCTACGTAATATCACGTTTACATCATCTAAGTATCATATACATCTAGAAATATTGCATTTTCCTGTCAGTTTATGTATTTAGACTCGATGTATTCTTTTTAAATAAAATTTTATGACGGAAATGTCAACAAATGTCTCATCCGTTAAACCTCAAACTAAATATTTTAAATAATAATTAATAAACGTAATAGTGCTTGAACTGAAAATTATAAGCTTTAAAAAATATTATTAAATACGCTTTACGAGATCCGCTTTGACTAAATATGCCTTCTTTATTTGTGTTAAATATCTCAAGAGTACATTTTTATTTGTCTAGATTTTTCAAATTTAATTCGCAAAAATTTCGTGATATCACATAATTTAATAATTCCGTATTATTAATGAAATAGTGATTCTTTTGATATAATGTTTAGCAAAATCTACTGTGGAATAAAACTGCGTTTCGTGTATCATATATCATGTTGATAAATGAGTGATATCACTTAAAGTGGGTCGGAAGAACAATTCGAGTAACATCCAATGGTTTTAAACGTGTAACGAAATAAATGTGTAATGACTCGCTAAGGGTGGGCTTCGACATCTAGACACCCGGTTCAGAAAATTACGTTATACCAGCGGGATGTCTGTGATTGTAGTCGATGACGTCAGCAGCATCGGTCGTATAATGGAATATTCCAGTGTATGGTGTGCATTAACGATTCTATCAAAGTGTTCGTTGAAGAGTTTACTTTCGTATAACGCGAACATAATGATCCGAAATTCTTGAAAATTATTGTCATAAAAGACTATTTATGTGGAATAACTTTGCATTACAGCAAGAAAATATTTTAGGATCATTTAACATTTAGAAAAATAATAAGCAGAGAGTTTCTTTGAAAACGTTAAAATTAAATAAAATACTAGAATTAAGTTTTCTTAGGTATCTCAAAAATGTGACTTCTTATTCTTCTTCTTTTAATTGGCATTCGCCGCCTTTCCTGCTATGTTCTGATATGATCATGAAGTCAAACGTAGTATTGAAATTAATATAACAGAGTAAATAAAAAAACAACGTGTAAATACATTGCTCGATCGTAGTCGGCCACACTTTCAAAAATTCCAAGAAGCATTTCTGCTTTCGAACTCTTATATAAAATAACATAAAAATAACATAAAGGAAAACACCCAGTTCAGTTTTGTCAGTTGTTCGTATAGCGATCTTCTTCTAAGAATATACAAGGAGAATATATATATATATTCTCACAGTTAATTGAGTTTTATTGACGTTATATCATTTGAATATACGGAAATGCGATCGCTGTTTATTTCCTGGTCTTAAGTTTCTAAGGATTTCACGGGCTCGGAGCCCGGGCTCATTTCCCGGGAGAAAAACGGAACGATAAAGTGTCTTCACGACCATTTTGATGGCGCGGATGGCAGGGTGTGGGTATAAAGTATACGTTCTCTTTTCTAGTGTCTCGGTGATTGCCGGAGTGCCGAAGTACCCGAGGCGACGATGACGACGGCAACGACAGGCGATGGGTGGGTGGATGGGTGGCCTCGTGTGTACGGTCTGTGTGCGTGTGGCTCTTCGAGCGGCACCAGGATCTTCCAATGAAATCGCAGCGCATATATATATCGGGTGGTACGATCCGGCGCAGACGCGTTAGACAAGCTGAACCGGGCGGGAGGGTGCATACTTCCACCCGCTCGACTTGGTGTGGCGGTGCCGTCGCCGTCGCCGCCGCGGCCGGGGTGTGAAAATCAGGAGCGCGAGCTGCGGAGGAGCGAAATGAGGGTGGCGGGGGAGTGCCGGCAATGAGTGAGAAACTGAAACACCCTCCGGGGTCCAGTGGACTACGGGAGAAGGGGGTAGGAGGGAGAGCGGAAAGAGGGAGGATGAGGACGCGGGGGATGGTTGGCGGCCGCTCGAGTGAGAGGGAGAGATTGCCGCCATTTTACAGTGGCGCGGATCTGCATAACGATCAGAGACTGTCGTGTTTATCAAAGCTTTTCTCCGCCATCTGCATAATTTTCTGCCGCGTCGGGGATGGCGAGAAGAGGTGGTTGGGAGGGAGTGAGAACGACGCGACGGGATAGAGAGGTGGCGAGAGAGGGTGGATACTCTTACTCTCCATTCTCGAGTGCATTTTATGTGCACGACTTATGAAACTTTAACGCCCTTACGAATAAATTACGCGGGTAAGCACCAACCGCTGCAGTACCCTCCAAACGC